CTTATCAAGAGCCTACATGATTGTTAGGAATTTCCGGCAGAGCATTTAGATTGGTTCTTCTTCCGTCTTCCTTACTGAAGTTTGTCAGTGTCTCTTGGTTACTGTGTTTCTGAGTCCTCTCCACCTTCCTGTGGGTAACCGTAGGGTCTTGTTTTCGGTCCTTTACTTTTCTCGTTTTCTTTGTTGCCCTTAAGACCGATCATTAACAGCTTTAATACATCATCTCAGCTGACGATATTCAGATTCACTTTTCATTTTAACCTATGGTCAAAAGGTTGTCTAGTTTCCTAGACTGTATAAATGATTCATCTCATTTCGCACTGATTGTTGTAGTTCCCTCTTCAACTCACTCAGTATGTCAGCCCTCAATTGCCTGCAATCAGTACAAAACGCCAGACTTTTTACAAGGTCAAACAAATGGCCTCACATTACTCTAATACATCAATCCCTTTACTTTCTCCCAGTTACATTTAAAATCCAGTTTAATATTCTTACCCTTATGTACAGATGATTATGCGGTCAAGCCCTGATATTTATGGTTAAACTAATTCACCCCCACCAGACTACATACTCCCTCTGGTCTAACAAGCTTAATTTGCTATCATCTCCACAAATACACCTTAAGACCCCTGGTGATAGAGTTTTCCAGGTAATAGAGCCCCAACTCTGGAATAATCTCCATCTATCCTTGCATGTAGCATAATCTGCCCTAAAAATCAGTTACAGAAGACCCTGCATTTCCATTGCTCTGTTTGTTTTTTTTTTTTTTAACTCTTTATTGTATCTTGCAACTGGTATTTTAAATTCATTTATTTTTACAGGTAAATATACATTTTCTTCTTTGTAAATTGTAGTTAATAAATCATCTGCTTACATTGAGATATGATATGTCCATAAACCTGACAGTTGTACACAACACCAGTGCAAACTGCTGTCAACTGTGTTTATCTGCATTATATCATGTGCAAACACAACCAGACTGCCAGGGGAAAAAAACACAATGCCTCCACACATAGGGTCTATTACTCTGTATTCTGCCTGTTTCTGAGAGAGATGTCAGAGAACTGGAGCTAATTTATTATTTTCCCTGAAAATGTAACTGTGTGTTTTGTTTTTACCAACAGATATTATGCAGCTGTTTGTAACATGAATTACGGTAGCGCTATAGGCCTGAAATAGTCAAATATACCGGATTAATGGATGTTTTTATTCAACCAAATTTTCTATTAATTCTTTAAATATCATAACATTGATCAACATGTGAAAAAACAACAACTTCATCTAAATCTGGCATTACATATTAGGTTTGTTGTCATCAGGCTGTGGATGTGTTGATTAGTTTTTGGATGTTAAGATTGGTTTGAAAAATATAATAAAAAAATACAGTACAGCTGGTACCAGAAAAAAGTAAGCCTATCTCTGTCCATTGTAAAAAAAAAATAAAAAAAAAAATATATATATATATATATATATATACATACCCGCACATTTAAACTCACTAATGAACACGTTTTAGAAATAAATCCAGTCATGACAATCATTTGAAAATATCACACCATGTCTTGGGGTGGTCACTATAGTAACAACTATAGTAACAGCATTCTTCTCCCAATTAAAGCACAGTTTTGTCATTTAAGCATGTTTTTTTCATGTAGATCATAAAAAATGAAACACAAGTCGTAAATTAGTGAACTTTATGAATGTTTGGTGTTTTTCTTTAAGTTACGACAGAAACAAGGTGGCTGCTACCCCTTGTTTACGGTTGATGTTAAGCTAGGCTCATAACCTCCTGGTCCAGCTCTGAGCTAATCACAAGCAAATGAGACTGGATTCCTTCTTCTCCTCATACTCTTGGAAAGAGAAAAACTGACTTTCTAGTTTGAAGTTTTACCTCAGGTTTTGGTTAGGACTAGGATGTTCCTAGTGACCAATTTACGTTCCTACTAACCGACTACTCTAAATGTAAGAAAACACTGAGAAAAAAAATGACAAATATAGTGCACAATTTTCTTTAAATTGTCTGCAGGTAACAATGTCATATGGTTTGCTGAGTGTGGCTAACGTTAGCAGTGCTAGAATCACAAGCCTTTAGTCCTCCTCGCAGGTTAACCTCCACATGCCTGTGCTAAAAGTGGCTACGCATTGTTCTGGTTTTCAAAATCAAAAAATACAGCCAGACAGCTATGCTCCTATGAAATGCTATCTGTTCACTCTGCTGCATTACGAACGGGCAGTAGAGAAAGAAGAGAAAGGCCCATCAGCCCGGGTTATAATCTGCATGGTTACAGCCCCAGCCAGTGGCGGGTGGCTGTGCACATCCTAGGTTAGGACACAGTAATAAAATAGAAATCATTTCTGGCTCTCAACTCATGGTAAATAAGATAATTTGCTACCATAAATGTGTCTTCTTCACAACACCTAGACTGTAATCACTGAATCAAAGAAAATGCACTTAAAGAACAACCCCTTGTGCACAAAAATAAAAATTTTGGGGTGAATTGTCCTCATTTGTCTGGTGCAGAGCTAATTTGAAGAGGCATATCATTGGATGAGTGTATCCTCAAACAGCTGAGCCAAATAGTGATAAAGAATCATTTATTCCAAAAATTGCCCATAACGAAATAAAATGCCTTATGCTTTATTTAATTCTTAAATTTCATTTCAACCTCAAGAACATTTTCTTAAGGGAGCACTAACACAGCCGCATATCTTGTAATTTCAGACAAATCCCTGCCTGGAGCTGCTCCCCGCTGACAATCCATTTTGATCATATAATGATCATCTCTCATCCACTTCTGAATGCCAAAGGAAGAGGAAGCTTCCTGCTCTAACATCAGCTCTCTTAATGCTACCACACTGTGATGAATCTTAGTGTCATGTGGTCTTGGATATGGAAATTAACCAGACTTTGGATGACGTTGGAGCATCCAATGAAAATTTAATTCTGCCCGCATAAGGCTTATACTGATTAAATGTGGAATGGGATCACTTGCAAAAACAGAAACATTCTTCCTTTTATTGGTTATCAAGCCATTTTATCTTTACTGACTTTACTTTGTTTCTATACCTATTCTCAAGGATTTGTTTTTTTACACTGTTTTGTGCTTTAAAGGGAAAAAGCCCAAAACATTGTTCCAGAGGAGCTATAATCAAAAGTTTTGTTATAGAGAACTTTAAAAATGAGAAACAAGACAAATTCAGAAATGTAATACAACATGAACGCAAAAAAATAAGACCGAACAAAAACATAAAAGGGACTAAAAGCTAAACCTAAGTATGCTAAAACACAATAGGGTGACTTATGATAAGAGATTTGGACAGAGACTGCTGGGACCCAAACATGCCAAAGTGAAGCAACTATGGCATCAAAACCATTGTATTTTGAAGCTTAGGTTGACTTGCATAGCTGCTGGAATGATGAATTGGAAACGGTTCCTATTGTGCCTATTTTTTATCCATTAATGATCAATGTGTTTTTTGATACTTTTGCAATAATTCAGCATTTCAGAGCTTTTTTTAAATCATACTCTCAACACACTGTAACCAAAACTTGAGTGCACTATGTATTAAATAATGAGCTATGGCTACATAAAGTATTATAATGCTACAGAGAGAAAGAGAGGGAGAAGAAGAGATAACTAGCATACCGTCAAAGGGGAAGACCTGAAATGATAATACATGTCTGTGTCTGGAGTCTCCTTTATCAAAGATAAACATTACAGCTGTCTCATGTGAACAATCCCTCCAAGGGCTGAATGTGCATTGGAGATTTGAATATTGTATAGTTTGGCTTGTTATTCTAGGGACACAACCCCACCATCCATACCCAAATTTTACGCCCTTGGAATATGTTCTGGTGTGCACATTGTCCTTGTTTCAGGGGACATGACAAACTCTTTTGAGATGTGGTTCAATTACTCAGTCTGAAAAATATTCTTCCACATGTATGGCAAGGACACAAAATCAAGGCCACTTGCTGAGGGACTGATGAAGTTGGGGGATTGAACAATGAGATTTCTGAATTTGAGTGATTGAGTCTGAGAAAATCTAGTGCTAACCAACAGTCAACATCACCATAGATAAGCATTTTGGGTCACTGGGTCTCAAAGGAAGGTAAATCTGTGTATTGTCTAGCGATAAGAAATGTTATGAGGCTTTAAGATTAGGCAGAGAGGGAGCATGTAGATAGAGATCTTAAGATTGTTTACCTACCCATTGGTAATGAGTGAACTTGAACAGACTCCCTTCAGCTGTTATTTGATCAATACAAATGTGATAAAATTACACTGTACAGGGGATATTTCAAACTTGAATGTCTTATCCGTTTTTGAAATATCAATGAATGTCAGTAAAAATGCTTGGTTTGTTAATTCATCTGTCTCCTCATCCGATCTCAAGGTTTTGAGTGTCCTTCGTGTGACAGACACTAAACCGCAAATTGTTTGCTTCCCTCTCTGTGCCTGAATGGGTGGATGACTCACCAAACCTTGTTAAGGAATTTGGGTTTGAGACTTGTGTATTACAGCCTTTTACTTCATGTTGTTCATAATGAGATTACCTGTCCTGAATGAATAAAGGTATACAGTGTGTTCTTGCAAATTGAATTATAAAGAATTTATTGAGAAGGTGCAATCTAAATGACGTTTAGCTGAGAATATTCTACCATGAAATTGACTGCAATCATTATTACCTGTAGTGTGAGCAATTAAAAAAATGAGAGATTACGCCAGAGAGGTTTTGTATGGATTTATTATCTGGGCACTTTGATGCATTCTGGCATTAATTGCTAACTGAACACTAATGAAGCAAATTTACCAGAAAGTTATTACGTGTCCTGCAGGTTTTTGTAGTGCTTATCTATGGTGTTCTTCGTTGGACATGTTCAATGGTGTTTCAGCCAGAAACAAAACATTGCAGAGGATACAAACCCTATATGCAACAATATGTAATGCAGACACCAGGGCCTAGATGTCTTGAAGTATTCTGATCTGTTTCAGGCATTTAATTTGTTAACAAATATTCCCTTTTAGACATTCTCTGATGTGTTTGTCATGTTTTTGTCTGAATGGTACAAATGACACTTGCCTGTTATCTTTTGTAACACATGCCCGTCAGTTGTCTTCTGATAAGTGAAAAAAGGCAAACCCCCTCCTGATGGCTGGCACTGCACACACTGTGGAAATGTCGTTATTCAGATCATTTTGTCTTATCAGAACAGGCCTTAGAATGAAACGGTGAAAGCAGCTCTGTCATGCAGGTGAACCAAGGATTGCTTTAAATCTCATTCAAATGGAAGACTGAATATGACTGTAAAGTAATCTGTATCTACAGGGATGCCTCAACTTTTTAACTCAGAGAGTCATGAATATAGAACTATAAGAATTTGAAACAGCTGAGATAAGTAAAGAAAATAGTTAAAAAGACAAAGGATAAAAGGTAGAAAATTAGAACTGTAGATTCTTTCATCATATTATTTTCAAAATAATAGTGTATCAAAAGAAAATGTGAACCTTACTTAAGTTTAGGAGCTTAAAAGTGAGTTACAGTGAAGTGTTTAATTTTCCAGCACAGAACTAATAGCTCATTTTTTCATGGCTGCATTGTGAAGATGTTTTCAAATAAAACTCCCCTAAGCAGTCTTAGATTTGGACTATTTCAATGACTCATTGTGTGGTTTATGTCTCTAGCTAGTGAAAGAAGTCTGGGCTGCAGCATTTCCAGTGAGTGAAATTCCAATGTTTTTGCATTTGGAAGATATACTTTGCTTGCCAAACATGGCTTGTTGGTTCATTCGGTGTCTGGAATGTTTTTCATCAGTCCTCCATTGAATAGGAGTCAGGATTGTTGTTGGCTTTCCCCGGAGAGATTGTAGCGGATGGGTGTAACAAGATGAACGCTACTTTAATTCAGTGGCTCCAAACTTTTTTTCCTTGGAGCCTTCTCTACTTGTGTCTATAAAAAAAAAAAAGAAACTGAGCCTCCAGCATGAAAAAGTGATACATATATAATCAAAGATCAATTTGAAATGCTGGCATTATAACCTGAATTAAAAGTCTCTTGATATTTTTGTAAACCTGTGCAAATCCAACTGATAACCTCAGAGCAGAAGAAAACTTGCACCCCACCTGTGATCTTGATGAAATAGATTTCTGAGAGTGAGCAGAGAGAAGTAGGCAGGGATGGGATGAATAAAACTTCACGGTCAGAGAGATGATGTTTTGTGGTAATCTTAATCTGCTCAAAATTTTCTTGTCAATGGAGAGTGAGTTGGATAAAATCATCCCTACATATTTGTATTTAGTTGAGTTTTGAGACAAGCAAAAGAGTTTGGTTATATGAATACAGGTGGTGGGTTCATTTTGCCATGTTTGTCAAAAAAAGAGGAGGGGAGGGACCCTGTGCAGGTAACCAAAACATTTAGAGGAACAAAAAGGCCAAAGTCATGATCAAACTTACTTCTTTAGAGTCCAAAAAATGTGCAAACTGAAAAAAAACAAACATAAAATCCAAAACAGAAGGAGCCAGAAGGAGCCAGAAGGAAACAGCCCAGAACACAAGGAAGAAAGACATATGAATTGAAAACAAGAGGTGAAGGAGCACTGAGACTGAATCCACACAGGGGTAATCAGACACAGGTGACACTAACGACACAGGTGAAGACAATCAGGGCAATCAAAGTGGCGGGAAACCAGACAAAGAAAGGAAGTAAGACAGGATAAGATCAATGGGAACAAGAACTACAAAATAAAACAATTCAATGTATTTTTTTAAACACTGAAATTAACAAAATACAAAACTAAACAATGAATTTCAGTTCTGTCATTCAAATCAACGTTAAGGTTTTTTACTTGTTTTAGTCCAGTTTTTGATCTAAATTACTTTCAAGATTTACAAAACTCAGTCATCAAGATATCAAGATAGGTACATTATTATATCAATAACATCCACAGGGAATAATTCAAATGCTGCACTGTATTATGAAGTAATACAATCAAAATCAGGTTCATCATAAAATCCCCAAAATGGACAGTAGGATGTATTGGTTCCTATAACTGAGATGAATCTATGCATCGATCTGATGCCCATGTGACATGGATAGCTAAAATCAAACCCAGAGTGTTGTCTCTTAGCTGAGACAGAAAAGACCTTTAAAGCAACCAAATCTACAAAAATACAGAAACATCTCAGGCCCCACTCGTCCTTGTTCTGCTTCCTCTCTCTTTTGCGTACTTTTAAACACAACATGATTTTTCATTAAAGGTTGTTTCTTCACTGGTTACTCTTTGCAGACAGCTGTAATTATAAATAGACACAAGCCACTGTGTGCACAGGTGCATTTTTACATTTGAGATATTCATAGTTTTACCTGAGATGTTAGACATTAAAACAGCATAGTGCACAGTTGAACCTTTTGAAATGAGTTATTTTATATTTAATTCTGAAAAGGTATTCATAGTGTTGAATGTCATGATCTGTGCTCCTTTTAAAGCTTTGAATTATGCAGTCTATAATAAAGGTTGAATTTATGTCACTTTTAGTGCAACAAAATGGTTTCATTTCTAAGAGAAATAATCTTCCTCTCGTCATAAAATCCCATAGTTTTGTATAATGTGGGAGACCTGAGGACCTGAATAATATTTTTTAAGCTTCAGCTCACTTTTTCAGAGTTAAAAACATAATGACACCTCCATCTTATTGTTCCACATGAAAAATCCACTGTCTGTATGAGTCGAGAAAATTCATTTCAAATCGCTCAGCTTTGAACCTCCCTTTGGAAATACTTCCTACATTTACAGAAGGGCCACTGAACAAAAAAGTTCAAAGGCATTGGCTGCCTCTGCCCACTCCAGATACATTACTATAAGATATGGTATGCATAATAAATATAGAAAGGAATCCATGCATTTCAATTAGTTCAGGGCCGTCTGTGCTGTGCTGCGCTGAGCTGCTCTGTGCATTCACTGTGGGTTACTGTGAGACTTCTCTTACAGACCTCAAATGATGGTAATTAAACTTTAAAAGATGATTTAAGTAAATATGCATATTAATTCAACTTTATTGTTCTCATAACATCAGAAACAATCAAAAAGCTGATGGATTCTGCATTAGGCACAAAAGGCGCAACCTCCTTTGTTATGGACCCTGGACAGTCTGTATTAATATCTGTGAGCTTCACTTGTCAGTTATACTTATGCATAAGATTCATTATAACTCCAACTTTCTGTCATCGTTGCTTCACTTTGGCATGTTTGGGTCCTAGCAGTCTCTGTCCACATCTCTTATCATAAGTCACCCCATTGTGTTTTAGCATGCTTAGTCCCTTATGTTTTTGTTCAGTCTTATTTTTTGGCGTTCATGCATTTCTGAATTGAGAGATGTGTGCTTCTGCATGTGTCTGCACGTATTAGAGAGAACAGGCATCGGAGAGCATGGAAACTAAAAGAAACAGAAACAAAAGCTCTCCGTCTCTCAGCACTCCCTCTATTCGATTCAAAACTCTTGTTGAATGTATCAGAACATTCACTGATATTTAACTGTGTTTTAGGTGCCTGTCTGTGTGGAACAAGCTCAGTAGTAATGTGTTGTGGACTCCCTGATGTATGGCCATCTTTCTAATTTGCCTCTAAGTATTAGGAAGATTCTGCACCGCAGAAACCAGGTGCAGTTGTTTTTTTCAATCAATCAATCTTTATTTGTAGAGCACCAATTCATTACAAATGTTATGTCAAGACACTTTACAAAAAGCAGCTCAAAGACCTTACTCTTTGTTATTTAATATTACAAAAGAGCAGCTCAAAGACCTTTACTCATAGTTAGGTCAAGTTAGCTATGTGTCAGCTTTGCGCCTGACCACACCACGTTTTTAAAACAAACACACCCCTGGGCGCTAATGGGGGTGCAAGTTCATTTGCTATTTATTTAAACAACATAAGAGCATCAAGTCATATTGTTTGAAAGGCACTTGTTCATAAATGTCACAGAATACAGAGAAGGTCAACATTAATGTTGGTGGTCTAGAGGTCTCTCAACCAGAGTTTCAGGGTTAGGGTTTCCATCCCCAGCTGCTTGGGTAAGACACTCAACCCCAAGTAGCGGCTGCGTCAGCGGTGTGTGAATGTGTATGAATGGGATTATTTAATACTTATGGACACTTTACTTAGCAGCCTCTGCCATCAGTGTGAATGTGGTGGAATCGCTTTGAGTAGTCAGAATAGAAAAGCTCTATACAAGCTCAAGTCAGTTTACCATTTAAGATTATGTTTATGCTCTAGGAATAGTCATGAAATGTCATGGTCAAACATGTTGCTCAGCTGTCAGACATTTAAAAAAATAATTCTGTTATTGATCAATTATTCCCAGCTATGTTTCCCAGGCTTGTTTTTCCTCTGACACAAAGCCTCTGTGCCTGAGGTTTTTGTTATTTAGACAGCTGAGTGAGAATCCGCTTAGTGACATGAATAAGGATGAAAATCTGTCTAGTACAGTGCTTTGTGTCATATCCTCGAGCTGAGCTGTCATCCTCAAGTTGAGCCCTCTCCTAAAGCACAACAATTTTGTTTAAAAAAAAAAACAAAAAAAACTGCAATTTACAGCTGCACGCCAAGCGATATGGACATTGAGTGCAATGTATAGTCATAGCAGCAGTATATTTTTAAATTTGATGTGATTTTTCAGCCATCAGAAAGTTTTCTTTCCCGGTCCTCATGTGATCGCCATGAAGTTTTTCTTTCTGCAGACCCCAGAGGATTGCAGGAATGCAGATAGGTGGTTTCCCTACGTGCCTGCTGAATATTTGGTCAAGAGGGTATGTGTGGGCAGGCTTCAAAATGAACTTCTGTCTCCTTTTCACAGACAGTTCATCGCATGTGAGCCATTCAGGGAGCCTATTTAGCAGCTTCTTTGATAACTCTTTTTTCCCCCTAAATTGTTCCTCTGTGTCACTTTGATAAAAAGTATGTCTGTTTAAGCACCACGAAAGACTTTAATTGGGGTGAAATATGAAGGAAAAACATCAGAAACATCACAGGCTTTTCAAATGGGACTAGTTTAACCTAGAATAACTTGTCCTTTTGATGTTCAGTGCTGAATTATTGGCATGCCCAGTAACAACACATACATACAAACCTTTGCCTTTGCCTGGTGACTCATTGCAGAGATTTGTGTTTTGAATGACAAATCATGACCGTGGCACATATCTCATCATTACCTGCATACTAAAGGCCTGATTTACTAAAGCTTTGCTTGTGATAAAACGTGTATAAACTTGATATCAGCTCTCAACAAATGTGCAAAATGATCTGCTACCGGCGTGCACTGAGGATTGCGTCTTTCAATTGTGCAAGACAAACACATTATCCATTTAGTATGTTTGCCTTAATGAATGTGCAATATGGAGCGTTTCGGGGGCAGCAGTAACTCAGTCTGTAGGGACTTGGATTGGGAACCGTAGGGTTGCCGGTGCGGACCAAAAATAAGGAAGTTGTACTGGTAGCTGGAGAGGTGCCAACGTTCGTTGCCCTAGAGCAAGGCACCGAACACTGAAAAAATTCTAAGAGAGTGTGCAAAATACTAGGAGAAGAGACTGCCAATAAGTTAATTTAGTTCAAGCATTGCATTTTGTGTTTATGTTATTGCATGTTTAGAATGAAAGCAAAATAAATGGCATGAATATATTTTTTATTTCCATTCAACAATCTTTAATGAAGAATAACATCATGAATAACTTACATTTTTTGTGGCCTATTTGTAGCCAAACGAACATTTACAGCCACTGTAGCCTAAATGAAATTAAAGTTGACATTCATGTCTTCCTTTTCCCCTCATTTTTAACTGGAGATTCCCTCTGCCCTAGCTTGTCTCCTTCCTCATGGCTGCTCTGCTGTGGTACTGCATGAATTGGGAGACCTCACCACTGCTTGTACCCCATATTCGATCCCTCTTGCCAGAACATTTATGGCCATTGTCAGGCCAGATACAGAGCTGACCAGCTGCCTGGTGTGCCCAACAATGGCCCAAGTGCAGCACCTGATCGCCGTTACAGTTGACACAGCTCACACCTACTAACTGCGCAATGTATGGCGATCCATCTTCAAAAGATGGAGGAAATAGAAGAGAAGCCTTGTTTTATGCTGAGGTTTTATTATAAGCCACTTTCTTTTGTTCTTTGCCTTGTATCTTGCCACCTTCTCTTAATTTCACCTGTCGTTCTACTTGTTGTACCAACAGCTCTGATGTTCTCACTTATACTTTCCAATGTTGTGTTTCTTTATGTAATATTCAGATTTCTTTGCTTCAAGTCAAAAACATGTTTATTTGCCTCTTCCACAAATACCCCTAATTGAATGGGACTTAGTTTAATTTTTCCCTCCAAATTCACCATGACGTAAAACACGAAAAAACCTATATGTTACCACCTCAAGAATCTTTGCTCCTGTCATCATTCATTCATGCAACTTTTCTTAGTTGATCACCCGCAAAGCGCACACCGACCAAACGTCCAATTTGTTGGAGTGAGCACGCAATTTAGTATTCTCTACTTGTGATCTTAGTAAATAAGGCCCTAAGAAGGATCCTCAGAGGCTGAGGAATAAGGCCAATGCGGGGG